TCGTGAAGGGCTTCACCCAGGTGTATGGCGCCGACTACGATGAGACGTTCGCGCCGGTGGGCAGCTACGTCACGATGAGGATCTTCCTCAGCATCGTCGCCGTCCTCAACCTCAACATGATGCAGCTCGACATGAAGAACGCCTTCCTGCAGAGCAAGCTCAACTGGGTGCTGTACATGTCCCAGCTGGACCACTTCAACAGCGGAACCGGCCAAGTGTGCAAGCTGCTGGAGAGCCTGTACGGGCTAAAACAGTCGCCGCTGCTGTGGTACTTGGCGCTCAACGACGTGCTTGTCGGCGCCGGATGGAAGAAGAGCCAGGTCGACGAGGCTCTATACTTCAAGGTCGGCGACAACGGAGTGGCCTGCTGGGTACTGGTCTACGTCGACGACCTGCTCACCGCTAGCAGCAACCAAGATGCTGAAGGAGCTGCTGGAGTCCGCCTTCTAGCTACGTGAGATCTCGCCAGTGCAGAAGTACCTCGGGCTTGAGATCGTCCGCGGCAGGTCGGCAGAGAAGCTGTGGCTGCACCAGCAGGGCTACGCCGACAAGCTGCGTAGGCGCTTCATCGACAAGGAACAGACTGGGCGCACCTCGAAGACGCCGGTCTCGGTCGACGCCTACGCCGAGCTCACCTTCGACGACGAGGAGGCATAAGAGCGACAGGAGGAGGAGTACTGGCAGAAGGTCGGCTCGCTGCAGTTCGCAGCGACGACGATAAGGCCGGACATTGCCTTTGCCTACAGCAAGCTAGGGAGCAGACTCACGGTGAGGGGTGACCAGCACTGGCGCGAGGTCTACCGCTGTCTCGCCTACCTCGCCAACACGCGTGACACCGCCCTGGAGTTCGGTGGTGAACCAGAGTCGCTGGAGCTGGTCGGCTACGTGGACGCCGACGACGCCGGTAACAAGTAGTACAGGACAAGCACGGGCGGCTACGTGTTTGTCCACGGAGGGGCCGCAGTCTCCTGGTCGAGCCAGCGCATCAAGTGTGCAACGTTGTCGTCGACCGAGTCCGAGTACGTGGTGGCCACGGAAGCTGGCAAGGAGAGACGTCGTCTTCGCTTCCTCCTCGCATAGTTCCAGCAGCTGGATGCTGGGAAGCCGACCGTCCTTCGGGTGGACAACAAGTCGGCCATCACGGTCGCCGAGGGCATGGGGTTGACGGGCAACCTCAAGCACATAGAGCAGCGTCAGGCCTGGCTACAGCATATGGTGAGGCGCGGGAAGTTCTCGCTGAAGTACAACCCGACAGCTGAGCAGCCGGCCGACTTCCTGACGAAGGCGTTGCACTATCCGGCCTTCAACCGGTGCTCCGTCGCCATCGGCCAGGTGCGCTTGGCCGACGTGGGCAACGGTGACAACGACGTGCAGCAGTAGGTTCCATGCCCTCTTGCATGGCTGGTGCGGTGGACGACGTGCTGTTGTCAGAATCCCAACCACTAGACCATTGGGATAAAAGGGCTTGTTAAGTAGCGGGTCAGTGCGCCCATAACCCCCCAGGACAACGAGCCTGTAACCCTTCCCTAGGATCAATCGGGGATCACTAGTGGACCTCTGACACCCCCCCGCACTGGGATGCCCGAAGTGCACACACTGGGATTCGAACCCGAGACCTTCGCTCTGATACCATGTCTGAATCCCAACCACTAGACCATTGGGATAAAAGGGCTTGTTAAGTAGCGGGTCAGTGCGCCCATAACCCCCCAGGACAACGAGCCTGTAACCCTTCCCTAGGATCAATCGGGGATCACCAGTAGACCTCTGACAGCTGTGTGTTGGGTGCACGTCGACGAGTTATTCTCTGAACAGTACTGCTGTGTGGGCTGGGGGCCCAAGCGTGAACGCGGCGAGTGTCAACGGGAGTTGTGTGTTGGCCCCGTCCTCGCTTGGGCGAAGCTGACTTCGTGGTCGGGTGTGAGGGCAGCAACCGACTTGCAGCAGTGGGCAAGCTGGTTGACGAGGAGGTCGACCTGCACCGGCGCCGACTTCAGGGTGGCGCCGACTTCAGGGAGGTTGACCTAGGAAGTCGACCTGTGGAGGGCGTTGACTTGGTGATGCCAACTTGGGGCAGCCGACTTGGGTGGTTGGCTGACAGGACTGCTGGTCGATCAGATGGTTGGTCGACTAGGCCTACTGGTCAAGTTGGTGGTTGGTTGACCAGGCGTGATGTCAACCTGGTGGTCGACCTGACCTGGTGGTCGACGGAGGAGGGGCCGACGTCGACCACGACTCAGGACGCCGAGCAGCTGGGCATCGAGTAGCAGGGCTTCAACTTGGTGACGCCGACTACGGGTAGCCAACTTGGGCGGTTGGCTGACAACTACGCTGGTCGACATAGAGCTGGTCGACCAGGAGTGACGTCGACCTGGAGCTGGTCGATCAGGGGCGTGGCCGACCTGGTGAGGTCGACTTGGGAGGTCGACGGGCACATACAGGAGCAGCTGGTCGACGTGGTTACCTGTTCGACCCGGTTACCCGGGTGACGAGGTTCTGCGGAGGAATGAGACGGTCGCCCAGGCGATGTTGGCGAGACCGGCCTTGGTGGTGGTATCCCGAGGTCGACGTGGAGGATCAGGTACAGTCGTCAGCGCGAGGATGATATGGTGGGTGCGTTGTGCAGGTGATAAGGCTCAGCACCCCAATCCTCTGCGAGCACGTGTGATGCTGTACTTCGGGAGCAACGCTGGCACGCCGTCGACCTGCAGCATTGGCACGCCGTCGACTTGGCACTGCTGGAGCGCGGTCGACCGTGCTTCAGTGGAAGTCGACTGACCTGAATGCTAACTCTGATGTAGTCCTGTCATGTCAACTTCTTTTTACCATTGTTGTCAACTTTCTCTAGTGAAACTCTTGCCAATTTGCCCCGTGAACTAGCAACCAGTATGTGCACTAGGAAATCGACTAAGGAACAACGAACGCAGAGATCACAAGAGCATCCGTGCCTAGCCCGTAATCTAGCTCCCGTTGTACTAGCTATCTCCGCAGCATTTGCTGATTCGCCTTGTAGCCACTTGTCTCAGAGGCTACAGTAGTAGTGCCGCCATGAGTTGCTTCATGTTTTTTAGGCACTGCCCCTTAACTAGCCTAGTGGGTGTGTCAAACTATACATACATTGCTGGGTGTACAGTTTGGTATGTTTGGTATGTACTTTATACTAAACATGCTAGAGTTTCCTATATGTACCCCTATATTCCCTCGTTCTAGTCACTCTTTGTTCTTAACACAGCCTTGATGGAAGAGTGCAGCATACGAAGCATGGATTTCACAATCTTCTAGCTGCTCCCATATATTCCCACAAGGGGCATGCTCAGGAAATGCATGTAGGGAAGGGGCAAGGAGGGGGTGAGAAGGGGTATAGGGAGATAATGTTATGTGATGCTATCACTTGCATTCACGTCTGTCTGCCTCCCATCATATGTTCGTGCGTTGCATGCGTGGTGTGATCGTATGCAAGAATGTGTGTTTGATGTGGTTTGGTTTTCCTGAGTTTGTGTGAATTTTATCTGGCTTGAGCAGATATTTGAAGTGACTCCTCTGCTCAAGAGCTTTTCGACGAACCAAGAATCGTCGCGATCGGAGCAAGAACGAGGAAGTTGTGAGCATTCAAAGATTTGTTTGTGTTGCGACGACTTTGGGAAGTTGTGAAGTGACTCAATATGGGGTACAGACTTTTGGGGGTTGGGAAATTCGTCCCCATCACTGTAGATGCTGCCAAGTGGTTGGGAGAAACCAAATTGGGTTGGCAAGTATGGCCAACTTGGGTGAGGTGGATTGTGGAGGTTGGGAAATGGACAAAGGTTAAAATGAGGTTCCTATAGGGAAGGGATTTGGTGTGCTTATGGGGTTTCCTTGGTTGGGGACTCCTTGGGGACCTTCCCCCTCGTCCTCCTCTTCCCCTCCCACCTGGTTTATTGCTACTCTAACTCTCGTGTAGTAATCGTGGAACTTGTGAGACTCTTGTGATTGAGTTAAAGCCCAAGACCTGAATTACAAAAAAAGGAAGGCAAACTGTGCACAGTTTGCCTACCGAACCCACAGTTGACCTCCCGAGCCAGGCTGGTTACCATAAAACAAAGCCCCAACAAAGAGAGTGTCGTAGAGCAGAACCGGTTTGGTAGGCAAGAGTCCCAACCACACCCTCCTGAAGGAACAAGGGCTCAAAATGTGCACAGCTTGCCTTCTTTGGTAATTCAGGTCGTGCGATTTCCATACTATGCGAAGCGATTAGATCATGCGAAGAGATAGAATAAAAAGCCACTAAAGCATAGGCCATGAGCATTTTCACCTTTAGTCCTAGCCCATCCCCAGACATAGCATTTGGACCTATCGCCTTCCGCGTCCCCCACGCTTCTCCCCACCGTCTCTCACACACCTCCCCACGCACGCGCCCACGCTTCCCCTCACCGTCGCCCACGCTTTCCCCCACCGTCGCTCACGCTTCCCCTTACCGCCGCTCACGCTTCCTCTTGCCCCCCACGCTTCCCCACACCGTCGCTCATGCCTTTCCCCACCTTCCCTCACAAAATCTGCGCTCATCACCCACGGTTCCTCCTACCGTCGCCCACGCTTCCCCCCACCGACGCCCACGCTTCCCCCCACCGTCGCCCACGCTACCCCCCACCGTCGCCCACGCTTCCCCCCAACGTCGCCCACGCTCCCCCCCACCGTCGCCCACGCTTCCCCCCAACGTCGCCCACGCTTCCCCCCACCGTCGCCCACCGCCACCGTCACCCACCGCCATTGTCGCCCACACTTGCCCTCCCATCGCCCTCGGTTAGCCTTCCCGCCGACCTCCCTTCTCTCCCACCTCTCTCCACGGCGTCATCACTCCCCTGCCTATCACGTTCCCCCTCTTCACCATCGCGTCTCCACCCATGCCGCCCACCCTCTCATCCCTTCCCATCGCATTTAGGGTCGTCGTTGTATCCCTTCCCCATTGCCTCGTTAGGTCGCTCACGCTCTCCCCAGTACCACCTTCTCTACTCCTACCATCGCCCATGGTTACCACCCCACCCTTGCACCCTTATTTCCTTCTCCCTCATTCTCCCTCCCCATCAGCCTCTCACCCACCCTGGGCGGGGAGGTATGGCGGGCTGGGCTGGGAGCTGGAGAAGGGGTCGGGACTCATTCGCTGTGGGGTGTGGAAGGTTGCGTGGTCAGCAGCACCCACCCTTCTCTCTCTTGCTCTGACCTCCTCTCCTCTCTCGCACCAACCCCACACGCATGGCAGGTGGTGGTGCGGCTTTGGAGCAGAGTGTTTGGCGCACAGCCCCACAGGCGCGTGCAGGCGGGCAGCAAGGAGTGCAGTGCTGCATGAGGCGGGTCAGGGGAGCGGGGGAGGCGGGGCAGGGGAGGCGGTTGTTAGGGAGAGAGGGTGCAGGGATCCTCCTATCCCCCGTTCCACCCTTATACCCTGCCACACTTTTACCTCCTGCCCTCCTCCCTTACTCCGTTCCGTCGTTCCCCCACAGTCGTCCTCCTCTCCCTCTCCCTTCCTCCCTTCCTCCATCTCTCTGCCTCACTACCCTCTTTACCCTCTCTGTTGCCCGTCCTCCCTTCCTCCCATCCTTCCTTCCTGCCATTCTTCCTCTCCTCATCCTCCATCAATCCAGCCCCCCGTCCCCCTTCCATCTCCCACTCTCCCACTCCCTTCCTCACGCCAACCGTGCTCCTCCGTTCCACCCTTCTACCTTCCCCCTTGTACCCTGCCGCACTTTTTCCTCTCATCCGCCCATCATCAATCCGCCCATCATCTTATCCGCCCATCCTCTCATCCGCCCATCATCTCATCCGCCCATCATCTCATCCGCCCATCATCTCATCCGCCCATCCTCTCATCCGCACATCCTCGCATCCGCCCATCCTCTCATCCGCCCATCCTCTCATCCGCCCATCCTCTCATCCGCCCATCCTCTCATCCGCCCATCCTCTCATCCGCCCATCATCTCATCCGCCCATCATCTCATCCGCCCATCCTCTCATCCGCCCATCATCTCATCCACCTATCCTCTCACCGTCGCCCACGCTTCTGCCTTAGTGCCTTTCCCCGCTCGCTCTCCCCTACCCACGTTTCATCTTGCTCACCCTTCCACCCTTCCTCCGTGTCTCCCTTGCTCATTTTCTGCCTCCGTGCATTCTTTGTTCCCCACCATGCATCAGAGTTTGTGGTTCGTGTCTTTGGAGGTCTGCCATGCATCCAGTTGTGTTGAGTATAGGGTTTGATAATATTAGTCGCCTACAATAGCCATGCCATGTACCGTTATTGACGTTGGTTGGATGTGTCTCATAATACACCACATCGTGACTTGGAGCATTATGAAAAAATGCAACAAAGCAAAATAATGTTCCATTTGTGTTGCCAAGACAAGACTATAAGCACAAGCACAAAGCTTGGAGGTGGTAAACTTTCAACCCACTCCTGTTGACATACATGGTGCTGGCACATGTTTGGTTCTGTATGGAATGGGGAGGTAAGAGGGGATATGGCAGAATAAGCGAGGGGTGAAGGTGGAGGGCATGTATGGGAGGAGTTAGGCAGAGGAGTGAGCGAAGCGGGGACGAGAGAAAACAGCAGGCCCCCAGAAGTCAGAGAAATTTCTCTGATTTGCCTAAAAAACTCTGATATTCACCCTTCTTTATTTAGTGAACTCCGAAATTTCAGCGTTTTTTTTGCTGTGAACTCTGAATATTCAGAAAAAAAATCTATGCCTTGTCTGATATTTCAGACTTTTTCTCAGAGTGTACTCTGATCCCAAGAGCGTTTTAGCGGGTACCTACTGACCTGACAGCCGCGATTAGCGCTGGAAGTACAAATTTGTCGTGTCAGTCACACTGAAACATTGACAACAGCACTGCGGCAAGGTTGTCACCCCGTTTTAGGCTGATCAGTCAGCTTCACTACTGATGTGAACTTAGGTTTATCAGACTTTTATGCGATCGAACTCTGAAAATTCCGGTTTTTTTTTTTGTACCAAGTCTGATTGATCAGACTAAAAATGTGTACCAAGTCTGACGAATCAAACAGCCCAAAAACGAATCGGAGGGCCTGTACAACATATTCTTTACACACTGTGCAAGCCAGCAATTTCTATGTAAACATCAATTGTGCTGGCTGTTTCAGAACGCCCACTGCCAGCACTTCATGATTCCCCTCGAGACATAAAGCATGTCCTATGCCACACACACAGGTAGACAACACCTAAGTGATGGGGTAACATGAAGGATCTAGGCACCTGCATGTCTCTGGCAGAAACCCCCCAGCCGACCTAGGTGACACTGAGAATGCCCCAGTGATCCACATCCACTCAAGCTTCTTCAGTTTAACCAAGCATGCATTCAGTCCAGGCCTTTACACATCTCGGAACTTATTTCCGGGAATTTGCGGCTTGAAGCCCTGAATTCCACTCAGAATGTCGGCACTAAGCCATTTCCACTTGGACTCTTCCAAACGCCCTGAGCACCAGTGGGTACACAGGGACTGCCCCTCATCTTCCTCTGGAGACCCACACCTGGGGTACCATTTTTCCGGCTTCTCTTTGGAGCGAATGCCGTGCATCACCACGTCACCTTGGATTGGAGGGACCGTGCATTTGAAGACAGCCGGGCGGGTTACGTTGGCAGGATCCTCGAGCGCGCTGGCGGAATATTTCGCGAGGAGAATCGCCCAGTAGAGACGCCGGCCCTCCCATGTACACACGTCCCTTGCAAGCCGATTGGCCTGCTTCACAATCTGCTGCGCCTTGAGGTCATGATCCCGAGCCCACTCAATCCGCTCGAATAAATCATCGAAGTATCGGTGTGTTGGGACGAAGTGCTGGTATGGGCACAGGAGGGGGTAGAAATACTCAAAATACTCGCTCGCATGCTTGATGATCATCTGGTTGCTTGCCAGAATCCCGCACGTGCGACAGGTCCCTGTACCACCGTCCACCTCGATCTCATACTTGAACGCTTGCAACTCCGCCGGACCGAGTCGACCCCCCATCTTAATCCCATCCTCCCGCAGCTCATCTAGAAACACTGGGTCCACTCCCTTCACAAGCCTCGCGTCGATCAGGTCTGGCCGCACGTCTGACATGCGGTGGAGGCGCATTCGCGGGCTGGGGCGCCATTGCCGGTCGTAAAACAGGTGGAAATTGGTCATGGTCCCTCGGAACACCGCACGGCTCTGCTTCTGCTCCCAAGGTACCTGATCCGCCTCGCTTCGGCGGAAGTAAGTTTCGCTCAGATCCACCGGGTCCGGGTAGAGGATGTCGATGCTGCCGATGGAGCCGTGCGTGCTGAAAATGGGGAGGCCGGCACGGCGGTTTGCGACAGATGAGGCTTTGCTGATGTGCGCGTCGCACGTGTTGATGAAGAATTCGGCGGTGAGGGAATGGAGGCTGTAGCGTGCGATGGCTTCTTTGATCATGAGGATCGAGAAGAGGAAGCGGCGCATCTTGAACCAGTCGAACTCGAAGCCGCCGAAACGGAAGTAGATTCTGCCTTTCACGATCCGCACGTGGCCGCAGCAAGAGAGCACCTGCGGTGCATGGTGGGAAAGAGTGGAAGGAGGAAGGGGGGGGAGAAGAAGGGGGGGGAGGGGTGGTGGCGGGATGCTCAATCAGTAACTTAGGAAACAGGGTGAGAGGAGGGTGAGAGGAGGGTGAGAGGAGGGTGAGAGGAGGGTGAGAGGAGGGTGAGAGGAGGGTGAGAAGAGGGTGAGAGGAGGGTGAGAGGAGGGTGAGAGGAGGGTGAGAGGAGGGTGAGAGGAGGGTGAGAGGAGGGTGAGAGGAGGGTGAGAGGAGGGTGAGAGTAGGGTGAGAGGAGGGTGAGAGTAGGGTGAGAGGAGGGAGAGCACCTGTAGTGTTCGTGGTGCAGGGAAGGGAGGGGAAAGGAGGAGAGGTGGGGATGCTCAATCATCCAACATCACGCAGTATTCCGCTAGGTTGGGGGGACGGGGAGCCATCACAAAGTAGTGGGTCTTGGTTTGGTCTAAATTTGGACCAAAATTGGTATTATCAACCTATCTACTACCTAAATGCTACCTTTTTTGCTACGGTAGCCGCACTGCAAAACTAGTAGTGCTCGTGGTGCAGGAGGAGGCGGGTAGAGTACTTTCTCAACCAATCAACTTTCGCTAATCTGACAGTAGTTTCAGGAAAAGTTGGATGAGAGGAGCTCTAGAGAGTACCGGTAGTGGTCACTAGGGTGGCCAAATGGTGGCAGGGAGAAAGTTTGGAGAAATGCGGCTCAAATAACTGAAATTATTGGTTTAGATTCGACTCGATTGTTAAAATTTTGTAAACCAGCAACACTCACGCTGGTCATGTGACCCATCCGGTGTAGAATCTGCGCGCTGATCATTCCCCGCGCGCCCATCCCCCGCTTCACCCCGGGAATTCCCATCCACGGGCGCAGATACCTGTGCGCCAGGCACGCCAACCGGCGCACCGTGCGGGTACCGCTGCGCGTAGCCAGCTCAGGAAATGCCGCGAGATCCGCCACGCACTCCGCGTCGTCGGGAACGTCCGGGACGCCGCAGGAACCAAAACCGCCCGCCTCGAAGAATCTCCCGCCGATTTGCGGCTCCTCCGCTGGTTTCGGCGAGGTTTTCGAGGGTAAATCTGATGACTCGTATCCATTTTCATGATGATTTGGATCCGAGTCAACGTGGGAGGCGCCTTCGAGCTGGAATAACGCATTTCCAATGGTGATGTCAACTCGACTTCGTTTCAGTGTGGTGCTGGGGCTGTCGTCATCCTGGGACAGAAGTGGGTTGTAAAACGCATTGAGAAATTAAGACTCCGCGTCGCGATGCGGAGGGAAAGTTTTTGTGACTACGTGTGTTCGGACTTACCATTAAGCTGAGCGAATCTGAAAGGACGAGCGAAGATCTGATTAATATCCCAAGTAATAGCACTATCAGGCACCTCAATGGGTCCATACTTCTGTTTCTTGTGGCGGAAATATGAGCTAGCTTTCTGGTTCGTGGGTTGGAGGAGAGTTTGGAGTGAAGGGGTTTGGAGTGAAGGTAGTGCTGCTGTGAAAGTGATGGAGGGGGAGGAACATTTCTGGTGAAATGAGGTACAGTAAAAGCTGTTGTGGCAAGCTGATCAGAGAGGGTCACGGTTTTATGTACCTGGTTGGTTCTATTCGGTCCTGTGCGCTAAAAAAAGGTTAAAGACGACTCTGGGTTTCCACCGAGGCAAACCGTACTTGACGCTTTTTGGCGTACTTGACCGCATTAAACGAACCAGATACATTTAAACGTGACATGTGTGCATTTCAAAGTGCTGTGTGAAGAAAACCGATGTTCACCGTGTGGAAGCCGACTGGATCGCACTGGATTAGCCACTGGACCAACGAGGTCGACACCTGCCTGGATACACCTGTCTTGTATTTGCGAAATGGGTTGAGACGCACGGAATATCCCAGCGGAAATGGGTCGTCAGCTCCGTCGACCCACTGACGACCTGATGACCTGCTGCCCCCGGGCAGAAAAAACTAAAACCCTATCGGGTCGTATGCCATTCGTGAACAAGCATCCAACTCTACTGACCAGTCATCTTTGCGTACACTGACCCCTGGAATCCAGGGAAGGGTCGGAATCCACTGTACAACAGTGGCCTATGTCCGCTCACCGTAAAGGGGTGTTGCGCAACGAAATACGTGAACCGGAGCTACACATTCACACCATCCGCGTTCGTTTGGTCACGAAAAAAAAAAATACAAGAGCATAAACACCTCTGAGTTCCTTGAGTACTGTACATATCCCGCCCTGCACACTGCAGTGGCAGTGTGAAAGTCCGTCGCAACTCGTTTTTGGCAGAATGTCCAAACCAAAACACAAATTTAACTTCAGAAATTACCAAGTCGTTGCTGTCGCGGATTCTGATGGCAGATGTACGCTGCTGATGTGCTCCTGATGTCGTGGAACAAACCGGAGATAATCATGACGTTTGCCCAGGAAGCTGGACTGTAGCGGTCATGAACAAGTCGTGATAGTCGTTGCTCTGGAAAAAGACCCCTGGTTTGAGCTCGCCTCGCCTCGCATATAAGCGTAACGCCGAGAATATGGTGTATTGAAGAACACATTGGAAATTGGGAACTTCAGAGGCCAATAATATTCGGCTGAACACATTGGCATGGGAATAGTCTACAGATTTTTCCCACTGCCAAACAGTCGTGAATACACAAAATCTTGAAGCCATAAAGGCATTGCCCCTGCAACAACAGCAGGAAGCGCACTCATTCCAAACAAAATCCTGATAGGAGGATTTGGGCTGAGTGCTGCATCAGCGATGCGCTTTGCCAGCTCAGATGCGGGTGGAAATGACTGGTTCTTGGCCCGCTTGGCGTACGATTCGCGGACATTAATCTCCATGGGCTTAAACGGGCTTGATGGCGGGAGGACAGGAATGTGAGAGACATTCTTGCTGCATGAAGGATGGGGGTGGTAACGGAAGGAGGGAGAAGACAATTGGGAGGACATGAGTAGACTGAATATCTGATTGGCTGTGGGAGGACAGGGATGTGGAGGGGGTTTTCTTGCCGCACGAGAGGTGGAGGTGTTAGTGTTAAGAAGGCAAAAGAAAGACTCGTGGGACCAAAAGAAAGAACATAACTCCATGGAATGACTAGAGGATCATTATGGCCGATGGTGTGGGAATGTGAGGACAGGGATGTGAGAGCATTGATGCCACTAAAGCATCAATGGGATGGGGGGGCGGATGGGGGGGCGGATGGGGGGACGGATGGGGGGACGGATGGGTGGACGGATGGGGTTACGGATGGGGAAAAACAATGTTCAGGCAAGGAGTAACGGATTCTTTTGAGGCGCCTGAGATATCTCAAGCCTTGAGCACTAATATGCAGGTGACATTCTCGCTAAAGCAAGGGAATTAATCGGGAGAAAGAAGGGGGGAGGTAGGGTGGGGGGAAGGGGGAAGCGGGGAAGAGGAGGGGAGTTCAGGGTTGGAAAGACAGCGTGGTAGTGAGAGGGGGATTCCTAAAATGGAGACAACAGCGCGATTGTTGGCGGGGAGTGGGAGGTGGGCGTTTGAGTGTAGTGCAATAACCCATAATCAAGGCATGAAATTCCATTGCTACAACTAGAGAAAAGTAGCAAAGCACCTTAAAATTGTTGGTTTTGCGAATACAACAAAGCACAGTACCAGTACAGTGCCTCATCAAGAAACGAATTTCATTTACTGAGGTAGCTCAAAGAAAGCACCTGAAAATGTTGGTGCGGATGTAGCCGGGTGTAACAAGCACAACACCGATCCCCAGAGGTTTCATTTCCACGCGCATGCAGTTGGTAACCGCGTTGAACGCCGCCTTGCTGCTCCCATACGTCCCCACGAAGGGCCTGCCAAACACATGCAGTGCGAGGGGGGGTTCCGAGGGGGTGGGGGTGGGGAGGGGGGAGGGGTTGGGGGGGGTAAGTGGTTTTTGTCCACGCGCATGCAGTTGTTGATTGCGTTGAACGCCGCCTTGCTGCTCCCGTACGCCCCAACGAAGGGGCTGCTCAAGCAATGACAGGTGGGGTGGGGTGGGGGGGATGAAATGGTTTTCTTAGGTGGCTGGAGTTGGTAACCGCGTTGAACGCCGCCTTGCTGCTCCCATACGTCCCCACGAAGGGCCTGCCCAACACATGCAGTGCGAGGAGGGGGGGATCCGAGGGGGTGGGGGTGGGGGGGGGGGGGGGGGGAAGTGGTTTTATGTCCACGCGCATGCAGTTGTTGATTGCGTTGAACGCCGCCTTGCTGCTCCCGTACGTCCCCACGAAGGGCCTGCTCACAACATGCAGCGTGGAGGGTGGGTTAGGGAGGGGGGAGGGGAGGGGGGGTGGTGGGGTGAATAGTTTCATTTCCGCCTTTGGTGATTGCGCATGCAGTGGTGATTGCGCATGCAGTGGTGATTGGATCCAGCGTCGGCTTGCTACTGACATACGACCTCACTAAGGGCCTGGTCACAAAATGCAATTAGAAAGAAAGCGGGCGAAATAACACAAGGAAGTAAGCAAGCAAGGATGGTTCCTTTTCTCATGCCGCTCTGATTCTTGTGCTTGTAGGGGGGACACTGCAATGCCACCACACCTGTAACTGTAACCACCCCACCTGTACGTGTAACCAGCAACACTGGAAACGTTGATGATTCGCCCGCTCCTCTGCTTGTGCATGTAGGGAAACACTGCCTGGGACAACGCCAATGCCCCAAACAGGTTCGTGTCATACACCTGGAAAGCCCAGAGAGGGAGGGAGAAGGGAGGGAGAAGAGAGGGAGAAGGGAGGGAGAACGATTTGCCTGCCCTTGTGCTTGTGTGTGGTTCTTGAGTGTAGGAAGAGGCAAGCCAGCCTGTCGGCATGGCGTTTTGAGTAGGGAAATACTTGAGAGGCAAACTCAAAACTTCTTGAGAGTAGGGAAATACTTGAGAGGCAAACTCAAAACTTCTTGAGAGTAGGGAAAAGGGCGAGCCAGCCTGTCGGCATGGCTTGCCGTTGCGCTTTCGCATCAATGCAAAAGAAAGACCGTGGGAAAGTGCATGGCTTGTGAGAAGAGAAGACAGCGCTGATGCTCCGTGTGCGTATCCAGTGTTACAAGTAAACATGGTGGCGCTTCATACGGATCGTACGTACACATGCAAGGGAAGAGGGTGGGAGAAGAGGGAGACGGGGGAGAAGAGGGAGACGGAGGAGAAGAGGGAGACGGAGGAGAAGAGGGAGACGGAGGAGAAGAGGGAGATGGAGGAGAAAGAAGGAGGAGTGGGGAGCGGAGAGGGGGAAGGGTAGGTGTGGGGGCAAGAAGGAGAATCTTGCGTTTGATAGCAAAGAGGCTGTATAAGAAGAAGGTCGTATAAATGTTTTGATCTAATGAGTTCTTTTGTAAGAAGCAGCCTTCCCCATTCTCCCTTGCTCCCTTCCTCGTCCCACCTTTACATCCCGCATCATCATTGTGCCTCCTCATCCTACCTCATTGTACCACGGTTACCGAATTGTACCACGGTTACCGCATTGTACCACGGTTACCGCATTGTACCACGGTTACCGTTGTACCACGGTTACCGCATTGTACCACGGCTACCGCATTGTACCACGGTTACCGCATTGTACCACAGTTACTGCATTGTACCATGGTTACCGCATTGTACCACGGTTACCGCATTTTACCACGGGTACCGCATCGCACCTCTTTGATCCTCGCCATGGGTAGTTCTGCCAGCGGCCCCGGCAGCTCACACCCTCTATCCAGACACAAACAACTACCTTGTTCCATCGTCACCTCCGCATCTCACCCCACCCACGGGTACCGCATCGCACCTCTTTGATCCTCGCCATGGGTAGTTCAGCCAGTGGTCCCGGCAGCCCACACCCGGCGTTGTTGACCAGCACGTCCACCCGCCCCGTTTGGCTGGTGATCTGCTTGACTGCTGCCTGTATGGGAGGGGACGGGAGGCGGCGCAGGCACAGTACGGCAAACTCAGCAGCCCACACCCCCCGTTGAGTTGTTGACCAACACGTCCACCCGCCCTGCACGCATGATCTCCTTGACTGCCTCCTGTGGGGTGGGTAGAGGGGAGGCGGGGAGGCATGGTACCGTAATTTCAGCAGCTCACACCCCCCGTTGAGTTGTTGACCAGCACGTCCACCCGCCCCGCTGCCCATGTCACCTCCTTCACTGCTGCTTGTGCGAAGATAGAGGTTAGGGGGAGAGGAGGAAAGACAGCCTGTCAAACCCCAAAGCCCACGCCCGGCGTTGATTTGTTGGCCAACACGTCCTGGAGATCGGATCGGATCCGATCAACCACGCCCCAAATTCCACCCGCCCCGCTGCCCATGGCAGCCCCCAGCCCGCGTTGCTGCAGCCGTGACTTGCTTGACTGCTGCCTGTTGGGTGAAGTCAGAGAGGTGGATGGGGGGGAAGGATATGTTTTTTGTGAATTCTCAAAAAACATACTTGCTTGACTGCTGCCTGTAGGGGAAAGCGGAGAGGTGGATGGGGGGGAAGGGAGAGAGAGGTGGATGGGGTGGAAGGGAGAGAGAGGTGGATGGGGTGGAAGGGAGAGAGAGGTGGATGGGGTGGAAGGGAGAGAGAGCTAGTCAGCCCTGGCAGCCCTCACCCTGGCGCTGTTCACCAGCACGTCCACCCCCCCTGCTGAGGTTGCCACATCCTTCACTACTGCCTGTAGTGGTGGAGAGGAGAGAAGACGTGGGTGGGGCCGAAGGAGGCACAGTATGGCAATCCCAACAGCCCACCAAACCTGGCGTTGTTCACCAGCAAGCACGTCCTCCCGCCCTGCTGAGCTTGCCACCTCCTTCACTACAGCCCGTAGTGGAGGGAAAGAGGAGTAGTGGATGGAGGGCCTGCAGGAAAAGGAGGGGAAAGAGGGGGAGACGGAGAGGGAGGCAAGGAGGAGAGAGAGGGGGAGAAAGGGGCGGAGTAAAGGGGGAGAGGAGGGGCGGAGGAGAGGGGGAAAGAGAGTGGGGAGGGAATGAAGCGGGGAGTGGCGGGGACGTGGGGGCGGAATGGCAGGGTCACCAGTCCAGCCAAAACACATCGTGAGTTGCTCACTAACGAGGACACATGCTACTAGGTCACAGCCATCGGATCACCTGGATGGACGGCTCAGATGTGACGTCGAGCGCAAGCGTGTTCACCCCTTTCTCCTTCAGCCCCTTCATCGTGTCGACTCGGCGTGACGTGGCGAACACGTTCGCGCCGCGGCGCTGAAACTCCCTAGCAAGTGACGTGACAGAAGAAAGCGTGACAATAAGCGCGTTAGTATCCAGCTTCAAATCCAAGGAATCCAAGAGCATGACGTGGAAATCGAGCGTGATTATAATGAGGTCGAGAATTGAAGACGTAAGCGGCTTACTCGGCGATAGCGTAGCCAATTCCTCCATTGGAGCACCCCGTTATAAGAACAACCTTCCCCTTTGCGTCTCGCTCCTTTGGCTTGGCCAACGCGCCGCCCATAGCGGGAAGGAACACACGAATAGTAGGCTCTTCCTACTACCGAGGCTTCGGAAAAGTGCGACCACTACCAGTCGGGAATGCTGAACGTAAAATGCACGAATTGAGACTTCGTGACTTCTCTAGGTCGACCTGAGGCAAAATACGTATTTCTTGAATCTCGACCAACAGCAACATGTGGATCCTCAAGCTGGAAACACAAATAGCTCGGTATATAGAAAGCGGTGAAGACTATTTTTCTCTCGGTGGGTAGGCTGGTGTCCAGAAAGCCATCTATTCAGGACGGACGGACACCATTGATTCGGAAGCCGCGTCGCGTATGGCGCGGACGGTTGCGATGGGACTCGGAGGAATCCAAAGCGCGGGAGACGTTGATTGACGGTTAGATGACAGGTGATAGTTCCGCTGACAGCTCCGTTGGCGAGGTTGCGGTTAAGGCGATTTCGCGAGCTTCGTGAAGGTGCTACAAGTAACTCGTCGATTGTAAAACTTGGGTTTGCTTGGAGGCGGTTCTGGTCGGTGCAGGCTGCATTTGCAAGTTAGCAAGAGCACACAGCCAGTGACGGTTTTTAAAAAACCGTGTTCAAAAACCTGGAAACAGGCATCGTTACAGCCGCCGTGTTGCTTACAGTAAAGATTTCACCATAACGTTGTACCTCCTTATATGTACATGGATCGAGTCGAGATCTACTCGGCGTGTAAACACGCATTGGGCCATCTCCCAGCCCTGGGTAACCTCCGTGCAGCAGATGTGCCCGTCCTCGCTTCGTTGACTTCCGTTCAGCCAATAGGAACCTCCCAGTGCCACAAGAATCCTCGCCCGACACAATCCATACTGTAAAATCGACATCCATCGAACCGCACTCAAACGCACTCATTCCCCGCGGACTGACTGAATTTGGCGGCGCCGTTCCAGCCCACAGAGACTGCCGCAACAAATTCAAGCTGAAGCAGTGCATGTGGCTATAAATCTCAACAAGTTCTGAGCACATTCCAGGACTCCCAAGTGATTAGCTCGAGTGCTGTTCAGCTCTTCAGCAGCAATGGCTTCCTTCTTCCAAGTCCTTTCAGCCTTTCTTCTCCTCTCGTCTGCTCTCACCAGCTCGTTTGCTTCTCCCCATCACTCTAGTCTTGCAGAATCTTCGTCCACTGATCATGCTGCAGCTACCACCACAGCAGCAGCAGGCGAACCTGCTACAAACGAGATTCTCTCAAACGAGGATTCTGCAGCACCAAGGCGGGTGATCTTTGGCAAGTTCCCCGACCCCATCTGCAAGCGCTTTGGCGGATGCAGCGAACCCATTGACCCCATTGACCCCGTTGACCCCGTCCTCCTTCCATGCAAGCCGCCACATCAACCGTGCCCTTGGGTGCTCGAGGATAGCTCAGTAGACACTGCAAAGCCCCAGTTTGGGTGCTGGGGACCCCAGATCTATTGCAACGGGAGTTGCTGTCTTGTAAGTTCACCACATCAGCTTATATTCAAAGATTCATTGCAAAGGTTCATTGCAATGGGAGCCGCTGCCTTGTGGGAATTTCGGGAGCTTCAACGATTCACAGCAATGAGAGTTGCTGTTTTTGGTGTGCACGTCACTCCACTCATGAAGAAGTGTTTTCAGACGTCTCAAAACACCGCACGCATTCATCGGTCCCTAACATCGTCATGTAATCTCCACTTGGGCTTGAAATTCCTGCCCAGCCCATTCCAGGTTTGCCCTATTGTGACACGCCCTCTTTTCTAAAAGCTACTTGCAATTTCACTTCTTTTCTTCCATACCTCTTCTTTCCCTTCCCCACGAAAGCTCCTTGGGTTGCTGTCAGTGTTGCCAGAGATGCGAATCCATAGGGCTCACCTGTTGCCTGCCATCTAAGTAAGTGGAAAGGTCTATCGTCTCACTCCGTGTCTTCCCTCTTTCCCCCATCCTCCTTCCCGATTTTGCAGGGAAACTCACCGAGCTGCTGTGGTGGCCAGTGCTACCTGGGAGGAGAGTCCATAGGGCCTACCTGCTGCCTGCCGTCTCCCACCAGCGCCCCTTGAGTCATCTCGAAGACCCCTGACCTTACTTCATCTCCACTCCTCTATTCTCTCCCTCTCTGCCATACCTCTTCCCCCGTTTTTCAGGAAATCTCACCGCGTTGTAGTGGCGGCCAGTGTTGCCTGGGAGGCGAGTCCATAGGCGTCACCTGTTGCTTGCCGTCTGAATAACTGGAAAGGTCTATCGTCTCACTCCGTGCCTTCCCTCTCTCCTCCATCCTCCTTGCCATTTTTGCAGGGAAACTCACCGCGTTGCTGTGGCGGCCAGTGTTGCCTGGGAGGCGAGTCCATGGGCCTCACGTGCTGCCTGCCGTCGCCCACCAGCAACTCTAAACTCGACCCAATCCGACTTGCTAACCTACATGTTCAAACCCTCTGTTTTCTCCCTCTATGTCATACCTCTCCTTCTTGTGCCTCAGGGCAACTCCCCCCGTTGCTGTGGCGGAAAGTGCTGCCTGGGAGGCGAATCCATAGGGCTCACCTGCTGCCTGCCGTCTCCCAAAAGCGATCCCACCACTGCTGGCACCTGCTGCAGTACCCGCACCAGCTACTGCTGCGGCGGCACCTGCTGCAAGCACGGCACCACCTGCTGCAATGGCAAATGCTGCGAACCCGGCTCCACCTGCTGCAACGGCAAGTGCTGCCCGGGCGGCGTGAAATGCTGCGGCGGGCAGTGTGGCTGCCCGAAAAATTCCTCCTGCTGCGGCGGAAGCGTGTGCTGCAATGATGAGTTAAAGCCCCAGTGCTGCAGCATCCCCGGCGTGAGAGGCGGGGAATGCTGTCCTGGGATTGACTATAACGGGGAGGTGACTGGCAGTTATTGCTGTGGCCGGCAGTGCTGCCAGGGATCCGATACTGAACCTCCCCGCTGCTGCTACTCGGCTAAGACTGGCCCGCGCTGCTGCAAGCGTCGCATCGGAATTCCCATTGATGTTCCCATTGGTCTCCCAATTGACCCGTAGACAAGCCGCTGAGAGGTTAGGGGGTGACTTTTGAGTCGAGGCTTTCAAGTCTCCTCTTGGGAATCACAACTTTGGAACCCTGCAAGGGAGTTGGACTTGCGAGAATCCGAGGAAGGGAAAATATAGAAAGAACCGAGTCACTCAATAAGGCTGAGGACACAACTTTGATTCGTCGAGGACGCATGAAAGGATGTGTGGAAGGATGAATGGCTGGAGCTTCGCTATGGCTTTGTGGTGGCTGGGCTGGTGTGATCTGTAGCATATGTGATGATGTATGTACATAATTGAATGAGGGAGGGAGGAGGATGGGAGGAGGCCATGTAAGGACTGCTTGGTGAAACTTCTGTAAACATTCTGTGCACCTTTCATGAACCTGCTGTGAAATTGTCTCAGTATGTTTCACTCGCGGAAGAAACATTTCTTTCAGTAAACCATGACCACAACACAAGTCTTCTTTTGAGTCTATTTAAAAGTAAATCTAGCTCTGCATCAATTCCAGTACTAACCTTGAACAAGCCTCACAAACCCTCACAAGACCGATAGTTCGAGATTTTGAAGTCCTGGTAAGAAAGCCCTTACACGAAACCCCTGACATGCAAGCCCCCACACGCAAGGCATGCCCACCCCAACCTCTGAACGACTGCAGGTTCCTCTCAGCCATGCCTTTGCCTTAATCAAACCGCCAAGCACGTACCTCTCGATTTGCAATTTACAACTTCAACCTCGATGTATACAGATCTTGCTGGTGCGAGGCTTACTCTATGTTAAAGTAAGCGACGCCTTGAAAGGGATCGGTTTGTGAGCTAGCCGTGAAACTCGAAAAGTTTCCAACATTGTGATTCACGAGGAGCAGAGTTTGAGAAAAAAATCTGCCGAAGCGATCAAATATTGTACGTACCACGCGTGAAAATACCCAGATTCGATTGACCTCTCTTAATGCTGGTGACCGCAACGCATTGCGTAAGCTCCATCCGAGTGGCTTCTGGGCCGTTAATAGGATGTATGGATTCCAATGGCACACGAAATGCTAATAACTGGCACTGCACAAAACAATACAAGTACTGCATCTGACAATCATGAGTAAAGCACGGTTGGAACTAAAGAGGTCGAGATGAAATGGTCTAGTGTTCCTCCAGAAGTGGGAAAGGTAGCTGTTGGGAACCAAAGCACAGCCAAATCCGAACCGAATTGGCAAGGGCTGAGCATCATACTGTGTGTGCCAGGTTGATCGCGAGTCGCGACACCGATGCGCGATTGCAAAATAGCGGGAAACCCTGGGAAGAAAAAATCCCAGACAAGAGAGGAATTCAGATGATGCGATACGTTATTAGTAAGCTACGTACACTAGATTCATGTTGCAACAGAATATAATTACACATTCTATTTATTATTTTATGCTGGTTAAGAGTGAAAAACAAATCAGTGTTCATTCAGAAGGGTCCATGAAGAAAGTGTGCTGAATTATTTCTTCTACTCTTTCTGGTGTAAACGCATAGAACTTGCATGATGTCAAGTCATCCCTGCAAGGCGTAACCATGTACAAGGGCAGATTGGTGTGGAGTATGGGGTGGGGAGATATTGAGGAAAACACACACACACGCTAACACAGCAATTGCTCATGAGAACAGGCAAAAGAACCAATTAGCTCACACGGATACGCATCAATTTAAATAATAACACTCTCTCCCACACACTCTCTTCTCCCTCCCACACCCACCAGTATGGCAGCAGCATCTTTCTGTATCGCTCCTTGATGCTCGTGGCCCACTTAGCCCGAATCTTCCGCCTCAGCCCATCGTCAGGGATCGCCCAGTGCCTCTGCCTCTCTTGAAGCTCCTCAAACGCCGAGTTGAACCTCTTTAGTCTGCGCGTTGAGGGACGATGATTGAGGCATTCATATCAGCACATCGTCAGGATGATCCAGAGGCACCCATAGAGGTCAGCCCCTCAAGGAGTGTCCCAATCCCTATGCCTCTTTCAGAGCTCCGCAAGTGAGAGCTCCGCAAATGCAAACATTGAATCCTTTCAAGAGTGCACAGAGGGGTTTTACATGTCATGTTGCTCATCAATCCATCCATCGCACTGAACGCTCACCAAAAGGTGTTGTCTGACAGATACATGTCATCTCAATGTTACATGTCATCCCAGCGTTACATGTCATCCCAGCGTTACATGTCATCCCAGCGTTACATGTAATCTCACCGTTGCATCTCTGCCTTGACATAATCCGCAGCAGTTCTGTGTGTTGGCTGAACCGCATCCTCATTGGTGCTCAGGGCCGTCATGACCTGATGGGGTGATGGGGTAGAAGGGAGTGGGATGCGGTGGTGGCTCACTCACGGTAGTCATGACCTCAATGCACATAGTAGAAGCACGAATGGGAAAACGAGTGAGTGGGTAGCTGAACCGCATCCTCATTGGTGCTCAGAGCCACCATGACCTGATGGGATGTTACCAGCAGGGATGGGTATGAAGAGAGGCGGGTAGCAGAGTGGAAGAGGGGGAGTGAAGAGGTGGGTAGGAGGGGGGAAGGGGTTGGGGGGAGGATGAGGGGGGAGGATGTGAACGAAACGAGTGCATGGATGGCTGCACTGCATGGATGGCTGCACTGCATCCTCACTGGTGCTCATGGCCGTCATGACCTGATGGGGTGGGGCGACGATGCAATGAGGTCATGTATTAAGAACCTGTCCGACTGGTGCTCAAAAACCTCATTGCATCGAGAATCCTCTCACTGGTGCTCATGGCCGTCATGACCTGGATGGGGTGGGGCGATGCAATGAGGTACAGTCGGACAGTTTTTTTTTTTTAGTCGACTCAAAAGCCACCTCAGTGCAATGAGGTACAGTCGGACAGATTTATGAGAATTCTCAAAAACCAGCTCGTATGAAGAGAGAGGGTTTAGAGGGAGGAAATGACATGCACGCACCCGTCTCTCCTTGAGCAGGGAGAGAGACTGGAAAGCTCCTGCGTGCTGCTGCACCACTCTGAACCGCACTCTACCACCACTCGGTCGTCATGCAGGTCTGCTAACGCCACTTGCCAATGTGCCAGGCCCACACGACTCAGCTGAACCCCGTTTGGAAAGGTTGCTTTACGAGCGTTGTCCCGGTCTCACCTTGAGTGTCCCCGTCTGTCTCACCTTGAGTGCCCCGTCTGTCTCACCTTGAGTGCCCCGTCTGTCTCACCTTGAGTGCCCCCGTCTCACCTTGAGTGCCCCCGTCTGTCTCACCTTGAGTGCCCCGTCTGTCTCACCTTGAGTGCCCCGTCTGTCTCACCTTGAGCAGGGCGAGAGACTGGAAAGCCCCTGCATGCTGCTGCACCACTCTGTCGTCATGCAAGTCTGCTAACGCCACCATGAGGTCCTTGGCACCCTCCCTGATGATCAATGGGAGGAGAGGGAAGAAAAGTATGCTGAACCACATGTCACCACTCTGCACTGCACTCTACCACCACTCGGTCGTCATGCAGGTCTGCCAGCGCCACCATGAGGTTCATGGCGCCCTCCCTGGTGGGTGAAGGAGAGAGGGGGAGAGGGAGGGAGGTGAACGAATCCACACTGCTCTGCAATATCCTCCATCACCACACGGTCGTCATGCAGGTCTGCCAGCGCCAGCCACCATGAGGTCATTGGCGCCCTCCCTGGTGGGTGAAGGAGAGAGGGGGAGAGGGAGGGAGGTGAACGAATCCACACTGCTCTGCAATATCCTCCATCACCACACGGTCGTCATGCAGGTCTGCCAGCGCCAGCCACCATGAGGTCATTGGCACCCTCCCTGGTGGTTGAAAGGAGGGAAACGCAAGGAAACAAGAGGTATGAAGGCTGCACCAGTCTGTACCGCACTCTACCACCACTCGGTCGTCATGCAGGTCTGCTAGCGCCACCATGAGATCCTTGGCGCCCTCCTCGATGGGGGCTTCACGGGAGTGAGAGGGAAGAAGTCTGCTGCACCACACTCTACCATGCTGCACCGCATGCTACTACCACTCAGTGGTCATGCAGGTCTGCCAGTGCCACCATGAGATCCTTGGCGCCCTCCCTGGTGGGTGAGGGGAGAGGAAGGGAGACTGAACAGGTCTGCACTGCTCTGCACCACTCTCCACCACACGGTCATCATGCAGGTCTGCCAGTGCCACCATGAGATCCTTGGCGCCCTCCCTGGTGGTTGAAAGGAGGGAAACGCAAGGAAACAAGAGGTATTAAGGCTGCACCACTCTGAACCGCACTCTACCACTACCCAGTCGTCATCCAGGTCTGCTAGCACTACCATGAGATCCTTGGCGCCCTCCCCGGTGGGAGAAGAGGGAACGGGTGTGATACCACACAGGAGAGGGAAGAATGCTGAAGCCACCCTCTTCTCCATCACCACTCGGTCTGGTAAAAAGTCTGCACCACTCTGCACCACACTCAATACATAGAATGAGGAGGGAAGGAGGCTGATTGAACCGCTCTGAACCACATTCCACCCAACCCTCTTCTACGGCCACACATCCCAGCTAGCAGCAGCGGCATACCTGTATGTGCTACCACTCTGAACCGCTCTGCACCCGAATCTGCAGACATACCTCTCCGAGCCACCATGACTCTCTGCCAGCACTGGCAGCGGCATACCTTCTCATAGCAGACAGGTTCTTTTCAATGTTCGGCAATATGCTTCCGCTCTGAACTGCTCCGCACCACAGCTTGCTATAGCTCTCTTTTGGAACACGTGTTTTCAATCAACTGAATTAACACCACTTATTGCAGCCATGCAATTCATACAACACAGCAGCAATGGCATACCTTCTCACAGCAGACAAGTTCTTTTCAATGCCCTGTGCGTGCCACCCGTGCCAGTCGTTCCTGCCCGAGTAAAAAAAAGAAAGAAAAAAAGAGATAAAAACCAGGTAAAAAACAGTCAAGTCAAAAGCCTTAAAAAATCTTTGTCAACTGGAGTGCGCAATGTCTAGACAGCTTGAAGAAAAACATCACCCAACTCACATGGACTTGACGAGATAGTTGAGGTTGTTCATAAGAAAGAGCTGCTGTAACTCCTCCTCTGGGTAGAGCCTTGCTCTGATCTCTAGGTTCCTCCTTAGAGCCATCACCAGCTGAGGCTGAGTTGTCTCACTCTATACGCTCCTCCCTGTCCTTCCATCTTGCTAGGAGGACCACTCACATGGACTTGACGAGATAGTTGAGGTTGTTCATCAGGAATAGCTGCTGTAACTCCTCCTCTGGGTAGAGCCTTGCTCTAATCTCTAGGTTCCTCCTTAGAGCCATCACCAGCTGAGCTGTCTCGCTCTCCAGGCTCCTCCCGACACCTGGCGCCCTCCCGTTTGCTGACATGGCAGATGCTGACGTGGCGTTCATGGTGGCGGCGGCGGCAGCAGCAGCGATCGGATTGGAGGAGGCGAGAGGGGAGAGGGAGGAGGAGGCGGGGAGAGAGAGGAGGGCAAAATCTGCTGTGAGGGAGCTGGGGTCTTCGTCTGGATGAGCCTCAAGAAGAGAGAAGAGAGATGTGAGGGAATCCACGTAGCTTCTCCTTCCTTGCCTGCTCAGGTGGGGTTTGAGAGGGAAAGGAGGAAAGCGGCAAGGGAGGAAGGGAGGGGTGGAAGGATAATAAGTTGAAATGTGTGCTGTGAGGGAGCTGGGGTCTTGGACTGGATGGGCTTAAGGAGAGAGAAAATTGACGTGAGGAATCAATGTATCATTGTCTGCCTTGCATGTGCAGGTGGGTTGGGGTTGGGAGGGGAAGAAAGAAGAAGACAACGAAAGGGAAAGCAGAGGTCGTCAAGTGTGTGGGTCTCGAGAAGGGAGAACAGGGAGGGAGGTGAGGGAGTCAACATAGCTGCTCTGTCCTTGCCCGTGCAGGTAAAATGGGAGCAATGGGGACAATGGGAAGGTAAGTAGGGAAGGAGGAACATGGGGTAGGGAAACAACTACCTTGTCCACAGTTCTTGTCCTTGTGTTCCCTGTTATTGTCTTCGTCTAGCTCATCCTGTTATTTGTACTTTCCACAGCCCACAGCCCCCCCCCTTCCACTAACCCCCCTCTCCACAGCACTTGTCCTTTTGTCCCCTGCTCTCATTCACTCTTCCTCCCCCTCCCCCCCTCACTCCCATGCACAGTTGCATGTAGCTGCGGATATAGTTGGCAGCGTAGCTCGTGATTGAGTCCACAGCCCCCCTCTCTTTCCACTAACCCCCACTTCTGCCCCCCCTACCCTCACTCAGTCCTGCCCCTCCTCACCCCCCCTACTCCCACGCACCGTTGCATGCAGCTGCGGATATAGTTGGCAACATAGCTCGTGATTGAGTCCACAGCACCCCTTCTCAGCACTCACCTCTCCGTTCCTTGGCTTACCATTACTCCCATCCCCCACCCCCTTTCCCCCCCACCACGCTCACCGCTGCATGTAGCTGCGAATGTGGTTGGCAACGTAGCTCATGATCGAGTCCACAACACCCCCTATCCTGTCCCACTCAACCCTTTCTACCCCCCACAAACCCCCGCGCACCGTTGCATGTAGCTGCGGATGTAATTCGCAACATAGCTCGTGATCGAATCCACAGCGCCCCCTCGCGGCACAATCTCATAAACCGACTCGTCTGGTGCCACCGCCGTGCTGCTGTTGCTGGTGGCACTGCGCGTGAGAAAGCTGAGGGGTAGGACAGAAACGGGGTGGGCCCAGTGGGGTGGGGATGGGTGCAACATTTGAGATCTCATAAACCGGCTTGTCTGGTGGTGCTACTGCCGTGTTGCTGTTGCTGGTGGCGCTGCGAGTGAGGAAACTGGGGGAAGGACAGCAGAACAGGGAGAAAAGGGTTGCTGCTGTTGCTGATGGCGCCGTGAGTGAGGAAACTGAATAAGAGGGCAGAGCAGAGATTCGAAGGGGAACAAGGGCGAGCAAGGGTAAGGGGACGGTTGTGACATGTGTGCACAAGACTTATCAGGCATGATCTCAGAACTTGGCAGGAACAGGCTGCGCATGGCATCAGATCAGCAAGATTCGAAGCAGCAGAGTCCTCACGAAGTCGCTTGAGGCGCTGGAAGCACGCTGGTGCTAGTGCTTCCGTCATTCAAACGGCGCTTACCTCTTTCACCTCTCTCCCCTGCCCCTACCACTCACTTCAGGGCTGCCTTCTTGGCAGGAACAGGTTTCCGCATGGCGTCAGCGAATTTAGAAGCTGCAGAGTCTTCCAGTAAGAGTTGTAGGCACTGGAAGCACGCTGCCTTTGCTGCTGCTGCCGCTGCTGCTCTCACCACTGCAGGCATTAACCAGGACTGATACTCACCTCAAGGCTGCCTTCTTGGCAGGAACTGGTTTCTGCATGGCATCAGCGAGGTTAGAAGCTGCAGAGTCCTCAAGCAAGAGCTTGAGGCGCTGCTGGAAGCACGCTGCCACTGCTCCCGCCACCGCCATACAAACAGCACGTACCTCATTCACCAGTCTCCCCTGCAACGCTTCCACTCACCTCAGGGCTGCTTTCTTGGCGGGAACGGGTTTCCGCATAGCATCAGCGAGATTAGAAGCAGCAGAGTCCTCCAGTAAGAGCTTGAGGCGCTGGAAGCATGCTGCCACTGCTCGCCCCAGCAGCAGCGGCAGGCCCTCACACGCCCCCCACACATTGCTGACCTTGAGGTCCTGAAATGTGGCAGCGAACTGGGAGAGGGAGACAGGACAGACATAGGCAAAGAAGAGGGGTGTGGGAATACTCTGGATAGAATGTAGGGGAAAGCCTGAGGCGCTGTAAGCGAGACGTCACAACTGCTGCTCGCCCCAGCAGCATCAGCAGGCCCTCACACGCCCCCCACACGTTGCTGACCTTGAGATCCTGAAAGGTGGCTGAGAGCTGGGGTGTGGGACGATAAACATTGGCAGAGAGTAGGGAATGGAAGGGATGTTGGGGAAAAGCATGAGGCGCTGGAATTGCGACGCCCATGCTGCCACTGCTCGCCCCAGCAGCAGCGGCAGGCCCTCGCACGCCCCCCACACATTGCTGCCCTTGAGGTCCTGAAATGTGGCAGCGAGCTGGGAGAGGGGAGAAGAATCTTGGAAGAGAGAATGGGGAGTGTAAGCACAGGGGGTGCATGCATGTGCAGGGCGACGGTTACATACACAAGGGCATGGGCTGAGAGATGGGAGAGGGGAGAGACATTGGCATAATCTCTTGAACCACTTAGTAAGCGTCCAGCAACGAAAACAGCTCCTCTGCCCTTACATTCACACGCTTCTCAACCCTTACAGTCACATCACGTCACCAACAGTCACACCATCTACAGTCCAGTAACATACCTCCGGCACGATCTCTTGCACCACTTGATAAGCGTCTAGCAGCGAGAACAGCTGTTCTGCCATCCGCTGCTACACACCACATGCACACCCACACGCAGTGCAACAGGGGCCACACCCATATGCAGAGCAAACCAAAACCCCCACACACACACCTCGGGCATGATTTCTTGCACCACTTGATAGGCATCCAGCAGCGAGAACAGCTGTTCTGCCATTCACACACTTTTCAGCCCTAAAGTCACACCATCTACAGTCCAGTAACATACCTCCGGCATGATCTCTTGCACCACTTGATATGCATCCAGCAATGAAAACAGCTGCTCTGCCATCCGCCGTGATACGATCGCCCTCAGCACGTCCGCTAGAAACAAAACCCGCCGCCCGACGCCGCCGTCCTCCAGCACGCTCCTTAGGGCGGCACGCCTCTGAGTGTCCATGCCCTTCCAAGCCTCGTTGGCCGTCTGGTGCTCCATGGGGATTATCAACGCTCCCTGTGCAAAACGAGGAGACCAACAGGGAAGGGAGTGCAATAGGAAGGTAAATACTCACCCACAGCACCTCTCCCTCCCCTCTGTCTATTCATCCGTCCCCTTCCAAGCCCTGTTGGCCGTTTGGTGCTCCATGGGGATTATCAGTGCTCCCTGCACCAAAGGGGCATGGTCAGGGGTCAGTGGGGGAAGTCAGTCAGGGCATCAGAGACACATACATAATGTTTGCACCTCCTGCCTCTGTGTGTCCATCCATCCATGCCCCTCCAAGCCTCGTTGGCCGTCTGATGCTCCATGGGGATTATCAACGCCCCCTGCATGAAACGAGGAGACCAATAGGGCATGGAGTGCAATGGGGAAGGGGCTTACGATGATATAAGCAGCCTGATCCATTTCAACCATTTCTCTAATGCCTACTCCAGCACTGCTGATTGTGTGTAAACAGAGATGTTTTGAGACGTCTCAAAACATCTCTGTTTACACGTGGCAAGCATATCTCTAATGCCTGCTCCAGCACTGTTGATTGAACTTCTGAGAATTCTCAAAGTTCAATCAACCCATTTCTCTGATGCCTGCTCCAGCACTCGCCAACGAGCCTCGTGAACCTACCCACCTCCCTCACAGTATATCAGACTTACAATGATAGAAACGGCCTGCACTTATTCCCTTGAAGCCTTCTTCAGCACCCTCCACAGTGCCTCGTGCCTTGCGAATCACCCCTTTCTTGTGGGATTACGCAGGGAGACTCACAATGATATAAGCCGCCTGCACCCACTCCTTGGAAGCCTGCTCAAGCACTCTCCACGACGCTTCATGAATCACCCCGGGACTCAGCACATCCTCCAGCCTCAGTTCATCCATCAGGGCTTTAACTGCCTCCACGCGCACAGACCTGTAAGCTTCCACGCACTTTCCTCCCGCCCCTCCTTGCACCATCCTCCCAGCCGCCTCATTCAACCACCGCCCCGTGCTCACAGGAAACAGCTCAGGAACCTTCCTCCTCTCCTTCCTCCTCCCCTCCTCCTCCTCACCTTCCCCACCAGCCTTCTCGTCCCCTTCCAAGTCCCCTTCTTTTCTCCCCTCCCTCCTCCCCCCCCTTCCCTCGCCCCTCGCCTCCCCCCTTTCCCCTGGACTCAAAAGTCCCTCATCCTCCCCATCCGCCCCTCCTCTCCCCTCTCTGCCCCCCCGCCCCTCCCGCCCCTCCCCCTTCTCCTCCCCTTCCTCCCCTGCGGAATCCCCACTCCCCACGTGCAGGAACTCCGCCTGGAACAGCCTCTTCAGCTCGTCTACACTGAAGCGGGCGGACGCTTGCTTGCTGGGGGGAAGGGCAGGGAAGAAAGGGGGAGAGAGGGGGGGGGTGAGGTGAGGAGGGGCAAAGACGTGCACAAACTCCGCCTGGAATAACCTCTTGAGCTCGTCCACTGAAAAACGCGCGGATGCCTGCTTGATGGGGGAAAAGGAAAGCGGAAGACGGGAAGGGGGGGTGGGGGGTGGGAGTGGGGGAGGGTGTGGGGAGGGGCGGAGAGGAAGCATGCGCACTAACTCCGCTTGAAACAGCCTCTTGAGCTCGTCCACTGAAAAACGCGCAGAGGCTTGCTTGCTGGGGGGGAAACGTGGGAGACGGGCACAGGGGGTGGGTGGGGGAGGGTGAGGGAAAAGGAAGCACATGCAGAAACTGGAACAGCCTGCATGTGGGTGGGGGAGGGTGAGGGATAAGGAAGCACATGCAGGAACTCCGCCTGGAACAGCCTCTTGAGCTCGTCTACACTGAAGCGGGCAGAAGCCTGCTTGCTGGGGAAAAGGCAAGGGGGATTGAGGTAGGAGGGGGATACGGGAAGAAGGCACAGGAGAGGAGGGAAGGGCCATGTGGGGGGAGGAAAAGGATGCACGTGCAGGAAAGGAACTCCGCCTGGAACAGTCTGCTCAGCTCGTCTGCACTGAAGCGGGTAGAGGCTTGCTTGACCAGCAAGCAAATAGTAATCCAAATAGAGTACCCTGCCTGCCAGCTCTCACTCAACTCCTGACTTAACACCTCCTCCCCTGCGCCTCTTAAGAATGTCTCTTAATTCTTAGTCCAGATCCTCCATGGCAGTCCGCAGCAGCATGCCCACCCTCCCTGGCACAGCACTACTTACCCTTTTTCTCACACTCTCGTCGCTAAACCAGCAAACTCTCACCTGCGCCGCTTAAGAATGTCTCTTAGTTCGTAGTCCAAGTCCTCCATGGCAGTCCGCAGCAGCATGTCCGCCCGGCGCCCCGACTCCTTCTCCCCCACCTCCGCCAGCACCTTCCGCACGTTCAGCAGCAGATCAACCACTGGGAGGTACTCGTCTAGTTTCCCATGGGGCCCTGCTGCAATCATCGCCTCAATCTGAGAGGGAGGAAGGGAGGGAGGGGAAGAGCATTCGAAGAGGGTTGTGGGGTTACTTCTTCTGCCCCACCTCCGCCAGCTCCTTTCTGACGTTCAGCAGCAGGTCAACCACTGGCAGGTACTCATCTAGCTTGCCGTGTGGCCCTGCTGCAATTATCGCCTCGATCTGAGGGAGGAAGGGAGGGAGGGGAAGAGCAATAGAAGAGGGTTGTGGGGTTACTCCTTTTCCCCCACCCTTTCACCCCCCACCTCCGCCAGCACCTTCCTCACGTTCAGCAGAAGGTCAACCACCGGCAAGTATTCATCTAGTTTACCATGGGGCCCTGTTGCCATCATTGCCACAAATTCCTGTTGAACTGAACCCTCCTCAACCCACCTTTGACCTTGACTTGATCATTCACCAACTTGCTCACCTGGCACAACAGCTCCGATACTTGTTCCAAAAGGTCTCCGTATCCTCCTCAACCAATCCAAACCCTGTTCAACCCTTCTCTAACTCTGAGAAGTCAATCACCCACTTGCTCACCTGACTCAACAGCTCCGATACTTGCTCCAAAATGTTCTCCTTATCCTCCTCCTCCGCCTCCTCCTCTCCCTCTCCTTCCCCCTCCCCTTCCTCCTCCACTTCCGTTTCCTCCTCCTCTTCCTCCTCCTCCTCAAATTCCGTTTCCGTCTCCTCCACCTCTGTTTCCGCCTCTGTTTCGACCTCTGTTTCAACTTCCGTCTCTACTTCCGTCTCAACTTCCGTCTCGAATTCCGTTTCCGTCTCAGCCTCCCCCTCCGTTTCAGTTTCCGTTTCAGACTCTGGCTGGGGGACCGGACGCCTGTACGGAACCGAGCCGCCGCCGCTCTGCCGCTGCTGAGCTGGCACCGGCGGGTTTCTTTGCCAGTTGTTCCGATCGTACGGTTGTTGCTCCCTGGTATCCCGCGAATCACGCTGGTTCGAATAACGCGGTTCGTACTGTTCATCCGGGTCGTACGCGTCTCTAGAGTTTTGCTTTCCGCGGGAGGGCGGAAGTTCTTCTAACGAAGCCTGGGGTCTGCGTGGCTGTATCGGGGGAGCCTGACGTGCCTGCTGCTGTTTCTGCTGCTGCTGCTGCTGCTGCTGCTGCTGCTGCTGCTGCTGCTGCTGTTCGGGACGGAGAAGCTGACGTGGCTGATGATGTGGAAGAGAGGGAAGCGCACGTGGCATGTCGTCATCTTCGTCCCAGGAATTGTTGCCGGGCCCGCCTCGTACGGGACCAGGCCGCTGTCGCGTGTCCTGAAGAACGAAAGGGTGGTTTCAAACGAAAGGTGTTTTATATGTTCATTTTATGACTCAGGCTTGAAATCATCAGAAGGTCGTTGTCGCGTATGGAGGATCAAGCGGGAGATGTTTTTCCAGTCGACTCACTTTTTTACTTCTGGTTTAAAAGTACCCCATTGTTAGTCGGTGTCGAGTATCCTAACAGGCGGGAGGGGAGGAGCAACTTTCTCTTCTCAGTTGACGCGAAAGACGAGCGGGAAACAAGCAGCCAGCCACATCCAGGGAGTTAGAGACTTCACGAGGATATTTAAAGCCCTAATAGCCCTCATTAGCGCTTTAGAGAAGATGCACTAGGTGGATTATTCTTAGTGGTCGATAAAGTCTAGCGCATTTTCTTCGATGCACGGTGCGGTTAGAAACTGAAGCGGAGAAGAGAGAGGCGAGTGGCCAGCCTGGCGACAGTGAGAATTGTGAGGTCGCATCGAAGCTGGTTGATTTAATACTAGACGACAAAATGGCTTCATGACATCTCCGTACCTTATGCATAGTTGTAGTTTGTTCGCAAAAACATCCGCTAAGACACTGGGACCGTAAGCCTGAAAGCCGAAAGCAGCACGGAAAGAACTTCCTTGAACGCTCCTCAAACGAAAAACTGTCAACTGAACAACCGGCTTCAGCAACTATCAACAACCAAGACTACGAGAGCCAGGTGCGAAAGACATCAAAGCGCGTGCTGCTTCGCATTGCTCCCATCCCGGAGTGCTTCGCAGAGCGCTAATCGCAAGGAGGAGCTGGGACCAACATGCTCGATTGGTTCCTTTTCATGCAAATGAAATGAAGTGAGCTCTGCCTCTTATCTTAGCTTATGCAATGCCAAGCCAACATGAGAAGCAAGGCCTGCTATTTGCTTTCAGGCTATTGATATTTCTTGATCGAAGAAATCCATGGCTGCGGTAACATCGAGGACAGTGCAAGCGATTCAAAGAGATGGAGAAAGACGGAGAGGAGTAACGGTACAGCAAGGCAAGACAAGGTGAAATTTGCTGCCAGTTGGTTGGGTACAAAAACAGAGCTGCTTGTGAGGTTTGGAAGAGTGGCGGGAGTGATTTTACCGAGAGGTATGCCCAAGGGGCCAGTGTCCGCTGCGCGTCGTACCTGGTCTCGAAGCTTGGTTCGGTCGACACTGTAAAAGTGAGGCTAGGAAAACGGTTACTGTTCAATTCACACTTGGAAGTTGCAATTCAGTTAGGACCGTTACCTGAGTTGTCGGCGATAGAACACCGAGAACACTCCGTAAAGAGTCAATTAAAAACATTTCATTTGAATGAAGTGTACAATATACACACAATCACATTCACAATCAATCTTATGCACTAGCCACCGGCTTGAACCTAAGCTCTGCTGGCAAAACCGCGAGAACGTCGGTGGGGAGTAATAGGAAAGTGTCCAGGAAAGAGTCATTGACAGGAGGCACACGTGCTACTCCAACTAGAGTACACTTCCCGGAGGCGTCAAGCCTTGAGCCTTTGGCCGAACGTATGGGCCCAGCAGAGCTTTCGGTGGTTAAGATGGTTTCTACAGTAAGCGGTGGGGCAGAGTAGATGGGTCCAGCTGTGAAGAAGAATTTAGAGATGAAGGTAAGTTCCACCTGAAAGAGAAGCATGAGGGGAATGGAGGTAGGGTTAGTGAACATGGAAGATGGATGAGGGGAGATTATGTAAGTCAATACTTTACATGTCAATTATCCCCATATTCTATGCAGATGAGATGAGCCTTCATCAGCGAAGTCATTTTCCTTCTCTAAGCTAAATCCAACCCCTAAATTAACCAACACCACCAACACACTCTACTACATCCATCTCCCGTCTCCCCCTCTACTCTCCCTGCTGTTTCTCCCTGCTAAGGGAACCATCACCCTTCACAACAGTAGCACAATGTCCCTTCATTTCAGCCCTCATCTCTCTCAATACATCTTCCCCCCCACCACATCACAGCCACTACATACCGAGTCATCTTCAAATGCCTTGGCCTTTTGAGAAAATTCTTAGAAAATGTATGTCTAACCCCTAAGGATTTACTTAAAAGCTTCAAACCACCTCCCAAAAAGAAACCAGTTGAAAGAGCTGAGACAACTCCCAAGGACATGACAAAAAAAAAGGCGCATACATGCCATGTACCGCACCTGTCGCAGAGATGAACCAAAAGCTTAGACTAATCTACGGGCTCCCAGGCCTACCTTGCCAGTCGACCTCTCGAGGTAGCCCCTGAGCGCCGCGGGAGCAATCTCAATCCTAAGCGGCGGGGGCAGCGGAAGCCCGAGGAACCGCGTCGTGTCATACCGCAACGGGGGGATGTTTAGAGTCTGCGGGTCGAAAACTATCTCAACGCGATCCGATCCGTCGTTTAAATCCGTCGCGGTTCCCGAGCCGCCTCCCCCGGCAACGCCACCGGGGCTGTAGCTGAAATCGGGGTAAATCGCGACTCCAAGACCGCAGTTATCCCCGATTTGAATCTCCACCGTAGATCCCGGAGGGCATGGGGGAATTACGACAGGGCCTAGAGAGAGTGACGTGGAATCCGGGGAAGCTGACGTGGAGGGCGGTGCGAGTAAGGAAGCGGTAAGGCGGCGGATGAGAGCGCCACGAGCGAACGTCGCGAGAGAAGGCCATCTGCTACTAGCGGCTCCGGCACCGTGATATCTGAGCCGTCCAAGCTAACTTGCTGCGGAATCGACGGTGAAGATGGATCGAAGTCGGAAGCTTCATCGGTGGTAGGAGGATCGTTCGCGCTCGAGCTTGCACTGAAATCGTCCGAATTGGCTTTGAGACACGCGCTGCGAATGCGCATCGAAATGCACAGGAATGCGTGGCGAGACTCCAGTAATCCGTTGCCGGCGGATGTTGCCAGGCGAATTCCCCCGTGCTAAGCGGCACGGGATGGTTACGCCTGGCTTGCGGTGCTGCCGCCGCTGATTGCGGCAAGCTGGGAAAGCGCGATCATGCTGAAGATGGCTGACGTGGCGGGCCGAAAGGGACAGCCAAAAGAAATTTGATTGTGGCAATTCAACGGTGAGGTGATGTGCGAGGGGATTATCCTCGGTATACGGCTGATTCCAATTGGGAGTTTGAGTTTAAAGTATTAGTTAAATTCCACCTACACTAGCTTGAAATACACTCACCTTACAAATACCATTGAGAAACAGTACACTACTCAATATCAAGCACGAGATATGCTTTTGGTCTGCCATATCAATCTACGATTCCAGAACCTAGAGTCATCAACTTCGTATACCTGTATAGCCTCGAATGTTATTGCAGGTGAGGTCAAATACTGGTCGGATTGGCCCAACCCCTGCACCTCTCCGCATCACCGGTTATCACGGCTCCAGATCCTCTGAGTCCTCCTCACCTTGTTTCCTCTATACCCTTCAACGAATTATGTGTTCAAGGCAGATGAATGTGACGCCAAGTCACAGCATCAAGTCCCACTCGACCCTCTTTAACGCGTTTCCTCTGTGAACGGAGTCCTTCCCTCTAATGATGACGTGTCGGAGGCAGGCGAATGTGAGGCCAGAACAGACGAGGGGCTCCACCGACGGCCAGGATGCATCGCCTTCCCAGATGGCAATATCCCAGGTAAAATCAACGGTGGTTGGAACATCAGCTGCGAAAGTGCTCCTACTGAGGCAGCTGATATGGGGGATAGCAGTGGCGCAAGCGGTGACAGCGGCCGCTTGGGTTGCAGGCGCAAAGAAACTGGAATCTCTTCCCATCCTGAAACTTCGCCTCCTCCCTCCCCTTTCCGTCAACCTCACATTCTCGCATTCCTGCACTCTTGCCTGCGCCAGCAGCATATCATTCAGCCCTGTTGACATCACAGCTGCTCCTGTTGCAATTGCAGGTGCAGCTGCAGGCATAGGCGTCCCATTTCCTTCCTTCCAGCTTTGACCCTCTGAGCCTTGGCTCGTTGAGCTTTCCCCCAACGTGTTAAGCAGCAGAGCGGAGAGGCAGGAGCAGAGGAACGAGCCAAGGGCTTGCAGGTCGACAGAGCAAGCCAGCGGTTCCCTGTGACACTTCTTTCCAGCAGAGGC